TAATTTATGGGATAAGCCAGCCTCTGGAAAACAGGGCCGGAATCTGAAGTCTCACGGGCATGCACTGATCCATAGGCGTTTTCAACAAGGTAAGCTAGTACCATTAAGGAGATTCCTCGACCCACATCCCCTCCGCTGGATGAAAACAGACAGGAGGATACTGGATGTCAGGATGTCATACTTCAACCTTCCAGGATTGCATCCTCTCCATTCTGGACAGCTAGCATAAGGAAAGTAAAGAACAGATGAAGAGGCAAACGCCATTCTCCATGTTCTCATTCCTGCATTTATGAGAACCACACAGGCTCAACCCTTTGCTGCAGTGCCTGCATTTGTCTCCACAGGTGGAGGCAGTGATGCTTCAGGTTAGCAAACGTCAGGGACGTGCGAGTTCTGCAGACACACGCTGTCACCCTCAACTGGCTGGTGAGAGTCTACTTCCAGCTTCAGACACCCCTGTGGAATGCCACCAGTGACCATGGCATCCAGTCCAAAGGACCGACGAAAGATTTTGACCCAGTTAGTTACTGAAACATGCCATCTGGACAGGACAGTGTAAGTGTTGTAATGTGTAAAAGCGCTACACCTCCATCACTACCGAAGAATTAGAATGCATCCCAAGAGCAACACTGCACGCTTTCATGTTTACACACCGCTGCTGATTCCACAGCTCAGCTCCAGACTCCTCCTTCAGCTTCCTTCTCCCCCTCCTTTCTTTCTAGCGCTAAGGAGCTATGGATAACAGCAGGCCAGGCAGGACTGAGCCAACAAAGATGAGCAGAAATCAGGAAGCAAGGCAAGGTTCCTTGACCCAATATTTACGGCTTCCAGAACAGCCTTCCTTTTTGTGTGGCCTTCTCCTGCACCCAGGGCCCAGTACTCCACACCCTACCATTTGGCTTGCACCCTCTGATTACAGTGGTGCTAGGCCGGCCCCACCATCTGTGGCCGCAGCTCTGCCGTGCCGTGGGCGACGGGAGGCCCTCAGAGACCGGCATGCCTTTACTAGCCCAGGCACTAGCTCCTCTTCTTCCAGGCTGGAGACTGACCGCCTTGGGATCGCGGTGAGGGTACACAGTGGGAAAGGGGGGGAGGACAGGGAGTGAAGACGGCCCTTCCGGTACCTGGAGCCGATGCGTCTCCATAGCGTCAGACGCAGGGGTTCTAGGGTTCAAACAAGCGCAAACACACCAGACTACAGGGTGACGGAGGGACGGAAGGGAAAGAGGAAATCAGACAGAAACACATGGACAGATGGAGAGAAAGAGACGGAGAGAGAGACGAAGTGTGGGAGGGAGAGAGAAACAGAGAGAGACATACAGCTAACTCCCACTGATGTCCTGCCATGACCACTTCAGCTCAGTCTTCGCCAAAGTGGCAGAACCAGCATGCTCTTCCTTTACTGTTTTTACATTTCCCCTCCGCATGCTCACTGAGAAATGCACATGTAACTTTTTTAATTTTTCGAACACATGTTAGATCCTCCAGACTGGGGGGCGGTTTTCAGCACTTGAAAGATTCTGCTACTTTGATCTAAAGATCATGTCGAAAGTCTTGGCTCCCCTTGCCCGACCCTACAAAGAGTTACGTAAACGGAGCTACCTGGAACTAGCGATCCTCGCAGGTCAATAGACTAAACTGTTCTGGGAGATGAAATCCATAAAGTACTTCTCATAGGGATGGGGCCTGAAAGCATGAGAGCACAGCATCGTCATGCAAATTCTTAAAGAGGTCAATCGGCAATGGTAACTTTCCGAACGAGCCCGTATCAAGGCACCCTGCCCAACGGCGTCTGCTGCACACGGCGGATGCAGTAACGAAATCTCGCTCTCACTCTCTCTTCTCACCTTCATTCCTGGCCAGCCGGCTGCAACCTGGATCAAGTTCCAGATGCCGGGTAGGGGCACGGCTTGTGGGAGGCGGTTCGGGACCGTGAAATCCGCGGGATGTCCTTGGCTCTGGCACTCCAACTAATTCACTGTACCGGTTGAACCTGCTGTACCCTTGGGCAGTTTTTCCATCCCTAAATCCCAGGGCTCCTCACTGCAGGCCACCTACCTGACTATCCAAGAGATGGAGTAAGCATCCAGCAGCTTGTGGAGATGCTGAGTTTTGACTCCTTTCCCCACCTGGGGACTTACCTCTTCCTTGCCCTACCTTTGCCTCACGTCAAGACGCCGTGCAGGTACAGTGTTAGTTTCAGGTTTGAGGTTACAGTTCTTCAAGAATGTGCAAATTCGTCTTGGAAAGAGCCTTCCACAGTATTCCACAGCACAGACAGAGAGAGAGATCCTTTTCAGGTACAAAGCCCCCCCCCCCATACCTTCATTATTTGAAAGTCTTTTCATGAAACACTGGCATTTCCAAACACAATTAGCAACCGAGCTAAGACTTCCTCTCGCAGAACAGAACTCCCGGTCCCTGAATAAAATGCAGAATCCATTTCCGCTTCTCCTTACTCGCTTGCTTCTCCAACCCCATTCCTCTGATGTTCCCCCACGGAGAAGCCGACGGTCCTTATCAGATGTATGTGAACCCATGCACTGTGCCCTCTGCACCCCTCCTCCATCTGCCTCAACCACTGTTCATGTGTCTCAGCATTAAGGCAGACAGGTAAGTGAAAGCGGTAAACAGCAACATGAACGAGGCCCTCCTGCACCCCTTATGTCCTCTCACCTACCACGGCACCACCTAAGCTCCATCCCCACCCCACACTCCTGCACTCATCCCCCTTGGCTCTTCCCCTCTGGCCCTTGAGACAGGCTAAGTTCCTGTAAATTGCCACCTGGTTGACCCCCAGCCGTCTATCGGCTGCCACTAGAGACCAGGTCACTGGCGGTGCTGCTCATCTTTGCAGCTCTCTCTGCATGAAGGCAAGCCAAGAGGGACAAATCTACTCCCAGCACCCACCCCACCCCCCTCCCCAACCCACACACAGACAGGCGAGGCTCCACGTATCATACTGGTGTCATTCTCAAACACATCTGGAATGTTACAGTTGTTTTGATTACATAATGAATACACCCTTAATTAAGGAGTCACTTTCATGTCAGCATCCTTGTCAAGGTCACCCACAACGCAGGCCTGTTGCATGAGCCGGTAAGGACCATGATGCAAAAGGCAGCCGATTTAAGTGTCAGAGGAGGCCCCCAGTTTTATTTCTGGTTCGGGGACACCATTAATCACAGCATCCATCTAAAAATTCCAGAAAAAACGCTCCCAACCCCCAAGCCCCCCCCCCCAAGGACCTTTTGCAAACACTGTCAGATAATGTGTAACCTTCAGATTTCTATAAATGTAGCCTGGTTGTCAAAAGAAAAAAATAAATACAGCTTCATTTTCCAAAAGAGACCCTTCTGTTAGTAAACATTACTAAGCCTTCAAGACTCAACTTTGTATCCCAGGAATGCTATTCTTGTAAAAAAAAAAAAAAAAAAAATCACTTACAGTATTTCAAACCTCTGAGGTCGCAAGCTAAGAAATGACAATAAACGTATCAAATCACTTTTTCAAAACAGTCTAGGTTTTTGGTCACTGGGTCAAGTCCAGGTCAGACAGGTCAGGACCAAGGGATCAGTTCTGGCACGTCACAGGAGAAGAACAGGGCAAGCATTTTAAGGTGGGGGGGGGGGGGCCTCAAACATCCGGATCAAACTGTGATTTTAAGGGCGGACTCGCACTTGGCCTGCCTACCTTGTACAATGGCCGAGCACGATTGTCCCACCTCCTCACTCCCCCGCTGGCCTGCACTCACATTGCCCTTAACAAGCCTGGCCTGAGCACGCTTGTGCCATCACCGTGTGACTTTTTTGGATTGAAGAAAAAACATAGGAAAGCAATATCGCACGGCAGAATGGAATTCATGATTAATGTCCTTATTTTGTGGCTTATTTAGAGTTGTTTTGGGTACGATGACACTCATAGATTTACCCAGGATGCAACGCAGTAATTTTTATTTATTCATGCTGCACCAATAAGAAGACAGTCCGACATTATACCAAATATCTGAGAGTTTGTGTCGACTAGCGCTGCACAGGATACGATAAATACCATGGTATAGCATGCTAGAAAGCTGCTCGGTATTACATTTCTTTAGTACTGGTCTAATTACACTGTCGCTGTCGCTAATGTTATATATCGCTATTCTTCGAATCAGAATCATGGACTCAATATGTCTGAACTACTGCCAAAACTCAGTTATACACCATGTCAGAATTGCACACATCATGCGGTATAGAATACTAAAAGGTCAGCTAGCTGAGCATGATCTCCCTAGCCTCAAGTCAGTGATTTATGTAAGCGATCTTATAATATAGCAAGATCTTATAATATAGCAAACAGGCTACGTTAACATCATCAAACTAGCATCTGTACCTACAGGTTATGATGCTAAGCTGTGTTTTCAGCAGTTAGATAATGGAGTATAATGCGCTGCACAGGAATTTTTTTATGTTTATTGAGCAGATGAGCGCTTATATTATGTGTACAGCTTACCAGATCTTTTCCTTCCAGGCTCGGGTCATGTATAGTGCACATATGCGCATGCGTGTGTCAGTCTGTTTTCTGTACACGGGCACAGTTAGCGATCACACTACATCCGTACCATGCCCGAATCCAACTGACCGTGCTCTGGTCCACCTCTCCAAGCAGGCCAGGGCACGGTACAGAGAGAGCACACTCATCAAACAAACCGGCTAATGTAAGTACACCCTAAGAGTACCACAGTTCAAGGTAGTCTTCATGCTGTGAGAAATGGGGAGGGCTAAACTCCACCCAAACACCTCCCCACACCAATGCACCCCTAGTGAAAGCCATAAAAATTAATAGAGGAAAAACTGCAAATTAGGAAGAAAAATGAACAATGCTCAATTATACATAGAGCCCTTAGACAAGCAAAACAAAGAACAAAAGAAAAAAGGAAAAACAGAAAATAAGGGAAATTAAAAGCTGACAAACCCGCAGGTTATACCGGGAGGGGGTGGGTTCGTCGGTGGACTCACCAAGCCATCACAGTTGCTTATGGCGACAGATGTGCCCCTCTCACCAGTGACGTCCCCCACATAGAGGCAGTGGCCCTGCAGTGGCTCGGAACGCGTCTCCATGCCGTCCTCTTGCCACTCCACCTTGGCTCCGGGTGCCACCAGTCGCGAATTTAGCCGCAAACGCAGATGGAACTCCCGGCCGAAGACGGTGACGTTGTAGAAGAGCCTGTCGACGCGCTCCCTGTGGAGCTCACCATCCTCCTCCTCCTCCTCCTCCCCCTTCTGATGCTCGATCGCGGCCGTCTCCCTCCTGTGGCGCCTAAGGTGCTGCCTGGCCGTCACGGCATGTGACAGGAACCTGCCCTCAGCGTCCGTGCTCACCGGAGTCACCAGTCCATACTCCCCCAGGACATGCTGCAGAGAGTCTGAAGGGGGGGGGGCACCATCAGCCCAGAATGACAAATATTGTTACCAAAACATAACCATCCAAATTCAGATTTGCAAGCCCAGCAGAAACGGTAAGCGGGCAGGGAGCGACTTCAATTCAGTGAAGATGATGCACTCGGCATGCAAATCTGGGGGTGCTTTTCCATTCAAAGATGCACACATACCCAAATGGTGTAAACAACAAACACATACACGCCTGGAGCCAGGGAAGAATACTCTCATGGGTATCATGGCACACTTTATAACAAACTTAGGGAATACTGTATTGCATTCAACATAAACATCATAATACATGACATATTTAATTTCAGCTAGAGTCCTAAATTATTGTTACTGTCAAGAAGCCTCGTCTCTTATGGGTGCCGCTAATTGCAGACACCTTCCCTTCGCCTCCACTTTAAATTGGTAAACAAAAGGTGGGGAGAAGTACTGGAAAAAAATAACTCCGAAGGCTTGAAACTGGCGTCCAGTTTACCTCGAAGACAACAGCACGTGGCTGCCACACATGGAAGAAGAGGTTTCGTGTGTACGTTTCACTTCTTCCCCGAGAGTAACAAAAAAGATAACAGCACGATCGAGGCGATAATTGAGGTTCTTACACGCTAAATAATGTTTTCTCACTGCCAGAGCCCCGTCCGCGACGTGCTTACAGCTCGCTTCCTCCACTAGGATTAAAAGCGACCTGCGTGTGTGGATGACTTTACTTTGTTTTTTAATAACTAGGAAGAACGCATACCTTTGGCAAAAAGAACGAAACATTTAGCAAAAATACCACAACAATAATACTTTCCACTGATATCACCATTATTATTATTATTATTATTATTATTATTATTATTATTATTAAAGCAAGACTATGTTGCCGTTTTTATTACTGTTTGAATTTCATTCGATTCTTTAACTAAAAATATTGTAAAACCATGAACGGTACAATACATTGAAGTCTATGCAATTTCCTTACAAAGCTTTTGCAATTAACGGCACGCCTGCTGTTAGTCTGTTTTTTGGGGGCATCATTAGCGCATCATTATAGCTCGAAGTCAGCTCGCAAACTACTGACATCAAAGATGCGTTCAACGGCGAATGAGGCTCGTTTATTTAACTCGACTGCAGATGTGATTTATTCCGGCTTTTCTGGCACCGAACTTAAGAGGGTGTCGATGCCAGCTAGCGCACGCGAGAAGGTGCCAGACGGAGCGCACGAGCAGGCAATAACACATTTTTAATAAAGGAAAATAATAACGACAATGGTCTGATTGTCAACTGTTTGTAACGTTTGGTATAATTTCAAGAAATGTTCTCGTAACTGTTCAAGTGGTTTTAAATTTGTAACAAATAGCAAACCGTTTGAAAACACTGTGCATCGCTCGTTTATAAGTGATGGGTGAATTATTTTAATTTCACAATGCATATTCAGATTTGCATTCAAGCATAGCGCTTATACAATTATTATAAAGTTCTTTCTGAAATATAAACAACTTGAGTGTTATTCGTTGAGCTACATTTCTGTTATTGATATGGTATTTCTATTTCCTCTCGATTACTATTATTCACTAATAAGTTTAAGATTAAATTGCACAAACTTATTTCTACGATCGTGTCTTATTTTTATTTATTCGCATCCTCTAAACACAAGAAAAAGAGCTGGGGATTTTATTTATAATCAATACTGATTCGATCACTCGTTCATTCACTCGTTTAAATCAATAGATTCATATCACCACAGCCGTAACAGTCCTGCCATACCACCGATGCAGTTTGCTGAAATGTTAAGAAATAAGTCATGCAATTTAAGAGAGAACACACGCATTAAATAGAGTTGCTAATGTTTTGCCTGCTGACGGGATGTGGGGGAAAAACGCACGCTTCGCAGTGAGACTGATGACATGGCACGGCGGACAAGAAATTTCCTTGAAATTGTCCTAGGAAGCAAAATACGCACATGAACTAGAAGTTAAAAAGCGGCATGGGTGGTGGGGGGATTAAGGAACAGCTCAGAGAGGAAAGACAGCCTTGAGGCGGCTTGACCGCGAAGTGTGGACCGCGTAAAGAGTTCACGTACCTATGCTACTGGCGATGTAAAGGCCGCTCGTGGGCACGACGAGCAGCAGCGTCATTAGGCACGCGAATCCCGGCGCGAGCTCCATGGCAGCTCCGAACTGCGCACGTGAGAGAGACGGGCTTTGGGATCCAGCGTGTTAAAGTTCCCCCGCGACCAGCTAATTCGCCACTCCAGCAACAGCAGCCCGCAACTAACTGCAAAGTGCACCGGGAGGGAACGCTCTATCCTCTCTCTCTCTAGCTTTGAGCGCTCCCTCTCTCACTTTCTCTCTCACTCTGTGTTTCTGTCCCTGCCTCTCTCTCGCTCTCTCTCTCTCTCTCTCTCACTTTCTCTCTCACTCTGTGTTTCTGTCCCTGCCTCTCTCTCGCTCTCTCTCTCTCTCTCTCTCACTTTCTCCCTCTATCTCTCCCTTTCTCTCTCACTTTCTCTCTCTCCCTCTCCGCGCACACACGCGCCCACACGTTCTCGCACCAAACAGAGCGCGAGGAAGCGAACAGAATACTTGGATGAAGCGCGCGGGGCGTGCTGCGCGTCAAGTTCAAGTTACCCTGACTGACACACCGCTGACAACTCTGCACAAGTCAGAAAAATAATACGCATGTATGTGTGCATGTGAGTGCAGAAGTTTTTCACCTTCTCTCAGGGCGGCAACGCGACAAAAAATAATTAAGATGTCAATCGCTGTTCGTAGCGTTTCGCGTTCCAGAGCACTAAATTGTGCATTGCTTGCATAAACTTTGTGGATCTCAGCTTCCAACGAGTGCATACATCGGTGCAACAGCTCCCCCTGCGTCGCCGAATGAAACTCGCACAACTTCGCAAGGTGGATAGAGAACTGACAGGCTAGCCAAAGAACTAGCAGGATGCAGCACACTTACATAAAGTGTCTGTCAGTGATAAAATAATTGGTGCGATGAAGAGCCTAGCAAAACCACCTTGCCTATTATTGCGCAATGTTTCTGTCTACTTAGTTTTATCATTTAATTGCTTTGACTTTACGGTCTGGTTGATTGCAGAGCAATGCCAGAATCAATGTCCAGTAAAATTATATTTAACTGTAGCTAAACGAGCGGTCAGTGCCGATCAGCTTCTTCATGGATGGGTACATTAAGTATTCAGGTTGTGTACCACATATCATAACAAAGTTTTAACCGTCCATTAGTCATCTACTCTGCGTATGTATCATACACAAAGACTTGTTATAAAGACTGAAATGGACTACCACCGTTGTAACATTTTGTAAGTAGTAGTGCTGTCATTTCAGAGAGCACTGTGAAACTGAAGTTCTAATATATATTGTATATTAACACTACTGTTGTCTATATAAATATAAATATATATATACATATATATGTGCCATTTTATGAGAAGATTCAGTGCACTGGAGAATACTAGAATGCTTAGAATAGATCAAAAAGAATGAGGAAAACCAACAACAAGATGGAAGGACTCAGTCGTCACAAAATGCCACTGGGAAGCCTGATGACCCAGACAGAAGACGGAACATTCTGGAGGAATGCCCTTTATATTGTTGCCAGGAGTTGATATCGACTTGACAGTACATACTATCAATAATGATAATGAAACAGGTCAATGCAAATCTGCCGACTCACTAAGGGATCCCACCAGTAATCTCTGCCAATATCGCCATCCAATCCCATCACGGTAGCTGAGGGTCAAATAACTGTAGGGAAGTTGATCTTATTTTTATATGTGCTGTTACAGAACTGCATACTGTTCAGGGTGCCCCCTGTGATGGACTGGTACCCCGTCAAGGGTGCCCCCTGCCTCATGTCCTGTGATGGACTGGTATCCCATCCAGGGTGCCCCCTGCCTCGCGCCCTGTGATGGCCTGGTATCCTGTCCAAGGTGACCCCTGCCTTGTGCCCTGTGATGACCTGGTATCCCGTCCAGGGTGCCCCCTGCCTCGCGCCCTGTGATGGACTGGTACCCCGTCAAGGGTGCCCCCTGCCTCATGTCCTGTGATGGACTGGTATCCCATCCAGGGTGCCCCCTGCCTCGCGCCCTGTGATGGCCTGGTATCCTGTCCAAGGTGACCCCTGCCTCGTGCCCTGTGATGGACTGGTATCCCGTCCAGGGTGCCCCCTGCCTCATGTCCTGTGATTCCTAGAATAGGCTGCAGGATAAGTGCTTATAATTATGAATGATTTAACTACAATGCAGATTTTGTCTCATATTTTCTCTTTTTTACACTCAGCAGTTTATATAGATGGATATTTCCTTAGAAATTATTTTTCAGGAACCCAACAGCAGTGTTCTTTCATTTTCAGCTCGCACTCATCATGGTCACAACAACAGCAACACCGGTTTGGTTTGTCCTGGGACATGATTCCACAGATGACCACCGTGAGTAGTGGCTGAAGATCAGCGGTAAAGAGTGAGATGATGCGCAGGTTAACTTTCACAGTATGTGCAGAGTTCGCATTTTGACGGCCCCCCAGCCACCTGAGCTGCAGGATGCCACTGTTGAAAGCCCAGTCATCTCTCGTTTTGAATTCCTGTCTCTGCAGTTGTAGCCAGTTCCTCTGGGTATAAATTCTTGTCCTTGGCCGCAGGGGAGGGCCCACTCAGTGTTGTCAGGATGAAATAGTTCTTGTGTATTTTACGGCCTTCATATTGGTTGGAAATGTCACACCGCTCCTAACTGGCTTCAACCGCTGCAAACGGTTCCTTTCCACCCATCTGTTCCTGGTCTCTTCTGTGTTGCCATGGAGATACCAAGCCCTGCACCTTGAAAAGTACACTTCTAAGGCTGGGAGACATTAATATCCTTCCTTCTCAGACGTCCCTGTTTGTGTGTCTTATTGCAGGAGGCTGAGACATGGTGCCAGGATTTCAGAAGTGAGGAAAAACCAGGCTTCATCTGTTCTTGAGCAAACAGCTTGTGCATTTAAAAAAAGAGAAATATTCCATTTGACATGCAAATGGAAACCAAATAAATGTTGTCTTGCATTGACACAAGGCTTCGACAGTTAATGGCAAACAGACACAGGTTTAAATCATGGAAGTAAATGCCATAGGTCAGCATTTCACTGCTGGCAGGATGTGCTCTTTGTCATTATTCACATTTTCACACTGCAGTTGTCCCAGGTCCAAGGAGGTTCTGTTACTTTGTTCTCCAATAAAGATACCCTCCATCTGTCTTCTAACCATGTATCATGGACAGGGCCACAGTGGGGCCTGGAGCCTATCCCAGACAGCATAGGGCAGAGGTAGACCTTGGATAGGATGCCAGTCTACCGCAGGGCATGAGCGTGCCCACACTGTACTGTACTGGCTGTTCAGAGATGCCTAACTGCATCTTGGACTGTAGTAGGTTACCTGTGAAATTCAGGGAGAGCTTGCAAACTCTACACACAGACCAGAGAGGGGATTCAACCCCAAATAAATTGGGGTACACAGTTGTTCATGGCTGAAATCTATGATGCAGTAAAGCTTAGTGAGTTTGAATGCTGTACCTATGATGAGAAGGTCCCAGGTTCAAATCCCACAGTTAGCAGATCGATTTTCCTATTGGGCCCTTGAGTGAGGCACTTAACCCTATTTACTGCAGGGACTGGCTTTCCTGCTTTCTCAGTCGTATGTCGCTTCGGATAAAAGCATCTGTAAGTAAATGTAAATGCACACTTTTAAACATGATACAGTTATGCTACATTTTTCCTTACAACTGTGGTATGAGAGGTCTTCTACTCCTCCTCTCCTCTTCTCCTACTCCTTCTCTTACTCCTCCTCTTCTCCTTCTCATACTCCTCCTCTTCTCCTCCTCCTCTTCTCATACTCCTCCTCTTCTTCCTCTCCTACTCCCCTTCTTCTCTTCTCCAACCTCCTGCTCCTCAGCGACAGACTGAGCAGAGAGGCAGAAGTGGACTTTGTGTGGATGGGCAGCAGGCTGCAGGGCCGCAGATATCCACCGAACCCGGCCAGTTGTCAGCTCTGGCATTGCGTGGGGGGGGGGGGGTTGCGGAGCACTGGGGACACGGCACGATGCGGTCAAAGATCGGCATAAACAAAACCAGTTTGGGCTGCTTATTAAAACTACCTCAAGTTCCTCTAGTTTGTGTATGAGGGACCGTCTTGGGTCATCAGTTGCAATGAGGCTTCCAGGTAACACACAGCCACGCACCAGCTAACGATGCTGACCTGTATCTCACCAGGTTCCAGCTTGGGGAGGCCCCCTGCACTCCTGCTGCTGCTGCTGCTGGCTCTGTTGCATAAGCTCCCTCCCCACAGCCTCTCTCGTCCGCTCTTGGAGCTGCGCGAAAAACACATCTGGTTGACATCGGAATGAAAGTTTGAAACCTGCCATTTTGTGGTGGGGAGGAGCTAAGGGAAGAGGATCAGATTCTTACGGGAGAACTGATGCTGTGACCAACCACGGAGGTCTGCAGTGGGGCAGGCTGCTTACCCGGATGGAAATCCTGCATCTTGGCCAGATACTCCCACAGCCCCGGCCTCAGAGGCACCCAGCCAGTACGGCTACCAACACCAAAATGCTTGCAATATCTGTGATGTAGCTGAAATGGCCAGAGAGCACTAGTTTCTGCTCTAATCATGTCTTTTGCCTCTTACTGATCAATTATACTGTCACGCCCTGCCTAGCCTATCCTCCCGTCTCCTTCCCCAGCATGACCATATTGAGCCACGCCTGTTTCTTATTAGTCTTACCTCTGGTTCCTGCCCTTCTGTGATTCGCTCCAGCTGTCTCTTGTTCTGTTCCCTTGTTAGTCTCTATATAAAAGTGCTTCCTGTCCCGTGCTCCCTAGTCCTGTCATTAACATCATAGCTTCTTCCCCTGTATATGGCTGCGTTTTCCCCAGTGAGAGCTTTCCCGTTTCGACCCCTCGGGGTCTCTTCTGTTTTCCCCTACTCCAAGTATAAATAAAGGTCCTTTCTTTGATCCTCACGCCCGTTTGCCACTCCCTTTCTTCCCCATCATGACATATACCACCTTTCCCATTTTTTCCCTAAAAAGCTTACCAAAGAAGTAATGAAATCTAGCAATACAGCTGTTTTACCAGAAATACACGGGATATACAACAGAGGGCATTGGCTGTCCCAGCGCGGAGGTGAAATCAGGTGGCAAACTCATCTATCTTCCAAACATTTATCCAGTGCGGGGTCTTCGGAGAACCCAGAGTCTAGCCCAGGCAGCTTAGGGGACGAGTAAGGGGACAGTCACAGGGCACACACACACTATGGGCAATTTAGAGGCACAAATTCACTTATATGCATGGAGAGAACATGTGAAACTGGGAACTCCACTGCCAATAGGCATCTTAAGAGATGCCCCAAAGAAATTGTTTTAGCCAATCAAAATGTCGCTGTTAATTCTCTGTTAATCATACATACTTGCCTATAAATTTCCCAATGCAGCCATGAAGCAGCACATGAAAGTGCCTCAATGTAGGGAAGGATGTCACCCGTGCGCTCGCACAATCCATCCAGCCAAAGACAGCGTTCGGGCGTCTCTCTCCACCCGTTGACCTGTGACCCTGCCACAGTGAGGATCTCCCGGGAAGAAGAGATGAGGGGGAATATCTAAAACATTTACAGATGAGAACAGCACCAGAAAACACATTTTCTTTAAACTCCTGCCTTTGGAAGGGGAAGACAGGGTGGCTGAAGCAGAGGGATGGGATTCTCACATTTACATGTGCAGATTTACATAACGGCGCATGTTAATGAAGCTTGGCCGTTCCGGGAAACGGCGCTCAGTGGGCGAAGCGTCCCGTTTCAGCCTCGGCCAGGTCACACGCCGCGGCGACGCTCGGTTCTCTGCACACACACGCATACCTGACGAAGGACGTGCAAGTTTTCAAAGTGCTTCTAGCTTATGACATGAGTGTCGCTTAGTAAAATACTTTAAGCTGTTAAAGACACACCTACACTTTCAAAAGTAACCCAGCTAGCAAATCAGCCCAGCCAATGGCCTTTGACGACTGCAATGTGGGGGGAGGGGGGGTAGTGCCATTTTATTTGAACCCCCAAATTGCACAAAGTTGATGAATTAGTTTGTGTTTTGATTTAATTGTGATTGCAGGGACAACAGGAGAGTCACCACACAAGCCTGATAGTCCTCACCATCTGAAAAATGTGTGTGTGTGTGTGTGTGTGTGTGCGTGCGTGCGTGTGTGTGTACGCGTGTGCACGCATGTGTGTTTGAGGTAAATTTAACTGCCCTGACACAAATGCAAGCCAGCATTTACTGCCCAAGGATCTTCCTTCAAGTCGGCTCATTCCTAATTAGCCCCCCGCCACCAGCCCACAAGATTTAATGGGGCCTCGTAACGCCGGCCCTCGCCCCCCTGTCTCTCAGCGTGGTCCTGGGGCCTGGGTAGGTACTGCTCTTTACAACCATCTCGACTCGCCATACAGCCCCGCACGCTCTCCTTGAAGTGCCTGATCACACACAAAAAAAAAACCTCTGGGATACTGCCAGAAAGTGATCATGAAGCCACAGAAAAAGTGAAATTCGGGCGGTTTATTGGTGAGCTTTCTGCCCGGTAACCATGCCGGCAGCTGGCTTTGAGCAGCGTTAGCCAGATGGGGACAGAAAGGTAGGAAAAGGAAAGAGTGGGGATCCTTCAAAAAATAAATAATCCCACTTCGGGCACAGGATGTGGGGAAGCTCTATAGTGGTGTGTTGGAGGTTCTGGAAGAAATTTTAAACTACTTAAAAAAATAGATGAAAATGACCTCATGCGGCCACAGTTTGCACTTTTCCTTGATGGGTCAGATTAATCACAGCAGGGACGTCTGCTCTGATGCATCTATAGAAACCATGCCACCTTTTTCCACCGCAGCCGTGACGTTTATTGAGAGACACATCAAATGTCAGAAACAGGGGCTAAATGCTAGGTCTGTCTTACGTGAGAGGGGACCAGCAAAGAGGGGACCGTCAAAGAGGGGACCAGCAAAGAGGGGACGAGCAAAGAGGGGACCGTCAAAGAGGAGACCAGCAAAGAGGGGACCAGCAAAGAGGGGACCAGCAAAGAGGGGACCAGCAGAGAGGGGACCAGCAAAGAGGAGACCAGCAAAGAGGGGACCGTCAAAGAGGGGACCAGCAAAGAGGAGACCAGCAAAGAGGGGACCAGCAAAGAGGGGACCAGCAAAGAGAAGACCAGCAAAGAGGAGACCAGCAAAGAGGGGACCAGCAAAGAGGGGACCAGCAAAGTGACTGTCCTCCAGCTACGTGGTCTGCATTCTAAAGTTCTGATCTTTAAAAATTCTTCTGTTAAAGTCTACAGAAAGTATTTTTGTCTATGCCAGAAACCTGTATAAACAAGTTTTTGTAAAGTTTGTAAAATCTCCACCACTAATTCCTGGGTTTCGTGTCTCACATTGTTATTTTGTTAAAGCAATCTACAAAGTATGTGTGTGAAGCATTAGAGTGGGAAAAGTTATTGATGAAAATTCAAATTTTTAATCGAAATAATATCTCATTTCTGACACCTGTATGTGATCAAGGTGTAATATCCATCACTCACCCACAGAACCATAATAATCAAAAATGCTGCTTACATCCTCAATTTCTTATTCTGGTTGGTAAAATGACGTGATAAAGGGGAGCTGGATTGAGTGTTTATCATGATTGTGATGTACTACTGTTGGTGATCAAAGACCACCATCTCCAACACATGGCTCTACAATCTATGTTAACATCAAGCACATTTCGAACAGTTTGACAGAGGCATTCTCCTAAAACACCATGTGATGCCGTTCCCAGACCTGCCATTGGCTACCGGGCAAGCAGACACAAGACAAGGATATGTCCCCATGATGACCTAATCAAAGACAGTCCAGTCTGAAATGTCACTCTAATGACATAACAGAAAAAAGCCCCTGTCACGATTTAATGGGAGTGTGACTGGACTGAGGTGTCTATGCGCTCACATGATCAGAGTGAGACCAGCCTGGAGATAATCCAAAACTTCTGTCTTTTCTACACAACTAAAA